CTTTATCCTCTCAGTTTTCTACATGAAAACCTACATGTTCTTTATTTCCAGTCCACATCTTCAATTCTCCCTTTTAGCTAAAGAACTCAATTCCTGTTCACTGGGGATGTATACACATAGGAACTTCCTCATACTCTTACTTCCATAGCTATCAGTATTTGTCCACTAGGGTGAACACGTTGCCTTCCTCCAAATAATGATTGTTTCAGTCTGGGGCTACATTTCTATTCGTGGAATGGCTCTTACCCACCCTTCTAACACACTGATGATGGCCATCACTATATGGATTATCTTGTCTAAGTTTTAGGTTTACAGCTCAGAGGTAGAGTACTTGTTTTACATGAACGAAGCTCTAGTATTGCCCCATCCTCCACTTCCCCAAATAATTATCCTGTCTTCTTTTCTCTTTCCTCCTTTTCCTCCTCTTCTTTTAAAAAATAAAAACAAAACAAACGAACAAAACCAAAACAAACCAAACAAAAACCAAAATTGGACCTCACTGTGTAGCTTGACTGACCTGAAACTTTCTATGTAGACCAGACTGACCTAAAACTCAGAGATCCCATTTCTGTGATCACAGGTATGTGCCACCAAACTTGGCCTTATCTTTAGTTCATTTTAGTTAGCTTTATTTACTATCACTAGCTAAAACCTTTTAAGATTTCATTCAAGGTTTTACTTTGCCAAACCTAGTGCTTATTAGATCTGTTGATAATTTTATTTTGAAAATCTTATTTTGAAATGCTATTTTCAAAAAAGATTTAGTTATGTGTTTTTGTTTGGGTAAGTTCATGTGAGCACAGGTGTTTGTGGATGCCAGAAGAGGCAATCGATCTGGAGCTGGAGTTAAGGTGGTTGTGGGCTACTTGAAATGGAGCAGAAGACCTGGATTCTGTCCTCTGCACCTCCTGCTGGCAGCTCACAACCCTCTGTAAATCTAGTTCCAGAGGCTCTGGAGTCTTTGGCCTCATCAGACACCTGCAAGCTTGAGGCACACACATGTAATTAAAAATAGTAAGTCTTTTTTAAAAATTAAAGCCTTACTATATAGTCTGTAAGCTGTTTCATGATCTGATATCTCCTCTTACAGTACTTATTCTTCTCTCTTGATCATTCAGCCCCAGAATCACTGGCTTCCTTGCTGGTTTTTCTTTCTTTCTTTCTTTTTTTAAAGATGGTATCACTATGTAGCCTGGAACTTTATTTGCAATTTTACTTTTTAAATTGTGTGTGTGTGTGTGTGTGTGTGTCTGTCTGTCTGTCTGTCTGTCTGTCTGTCTGTCTGTCTATCTTCAGGTGTGCCAGAGTGTGCTTGTGGAGGTCACAGGGCAACTTCTGAGTGCTGGCTTTTTCCTTCTGCTAAGTAGGTTCTGTGAATGAGTTGATATTGTCGGCAAGGGCCCATATCTGAGAGGCATCTCTGTAACCCTTCTTTAATTTTCTATTTTTGTCCTGAGGCAAAAGGATTATCACATATTTGAGGCCAGTTTGATCTACATGGCAACTTTCAGACAAACCTGGGTGATGATGTAAACCTGTCCCAAAAAGCCAAAACCCAAACAACAAAAAAGCACCCAAATCAGAATGCAACCCTTTCCCTCCCCAAACCTCAGACCTCTGAAATGCACATATGGTCTTTTGAGTTTGTATGGCTTGTTTGTCATTGTGTCCATAGCATTTTGTGTAGTTCCTGGTACATAGATGTTTGTGGGGTCTGTAAACTACAGGGCCGGCAGAGTAACCAAGGCAGGAAGGAAATCTGGTTCAACCGGACTTTGTTATCCAGTGTTGGTTCAGACTTTTAGGGTCTGACCCTGGGCAGTTTATTTTAGACATATTTAAGCACAGCACAAATTTGGGGAAAAAAGTTTCTTGATGATAATTAACTCAATCCTGTGTGTACAACAAATTTAAGACATGTTTACATTGAAACTCTTCCAAATGATGAGGTCCATTGACTCAGAAACAATGCTCAAGATAAGGGTCTAGGAAGAATGACTGAGCTAAACTAATAACCTGTGGGAGTCAAGAGTGATCTGGTCCTAAGATAACACAGAAGTTATCTAGGCTGTTGTAAAGTACAGGTGACATCTCCCATAAGATGGGTTTTATTGACTGAGAAGCAATGTTCATCATCTAGCAAGGAAGAGTCTGGGGTAAACAAACATTATAGTCTGGGGGATTCAGGTTAAGAGGCCCTACAGGGGGCTGGAGAGATGGCTCAGTGGTTAGGAACACTGGCTACTCTTCCATAGGTTCTAAGTTCAATTCCCAAAAATCACAGTGTGGCTCTCAGTTCTCTGTATGGAATCTGATGCCCTGTTATGGTGTGCAGACAAACGTGCAGACAGAGCACTCAAATACATAAATTAACAAATCTTAAAAAAAAAAAGACTGGTACTACAGAGGGCAAAGATTACCAGGTGTCTTAGTCAGGGCTTTATAGCTGTGAAGAGACACCATGATTATAGCAACTTTAAAAAAAAAGATTTATTTATTATATGTATACAGTGTTCTACCTGCATATATTCCTGCACACCAGAAAAGGGCACCAGATCTCATTATAGATGGTCGTGAGCCATCATGTGGTTGCTGGGAATTGAACTCAGGACCTCTGGAAGAGCAGCCACTGCTCTTAACCTCTGAGCCATCTCTCCAGCACTGATTACAGCAACTCTTATAAAAGAAAGCATGTAATTGGGACTTGCTTATGGTGTCAGAGGTTTACTCCATTGTCATTATGGTGGGGAGCATGGCAGCATGGAGGCAGAAGTGGTGTTGGAGAGGGAGCTGAGATCTGCAGGCAGCAGGGAAAGACAGACTTAGGGCTTGGCAGAGACTTCTGAAACCTCAAAGCTCACCTCCAGTGACACACTTTCTCTAACAAGACCATACCCCTGAATCCTTTCAAATAGTGCCACTCTTTGGTGACCAGGCATTCAAATCTGTGAGTCTGTGGGGGCCACTCTTATTCAAACTGCCACACCAGGTTATTAACTACATCCATTCCTAGCCCTCTGGGTAGAAAACAGGTTATACATCGCCCCTGTTGAGATAACCCTGTGTTTAACATTCCTTGTTTCCCTAGTGTTTAGCTGTGATTGCAGGGACCTCATATCCTCTGCAGGCATTCAGCACATTAATTTGAATGAATTTTAAGAGAGACCATCTTGGATTTATTTTTAGTATATGTGTGTTTATACACCTATAGTAACCACAATCAGGTGGTTCTTCTAATGTCCATTTTATAGAAATAGTTCGTCATTCATCTAAATACTGGCCTAGGCCTTGTGTAATTTGAGTTTCAACGAGTCCATAGACTCAGAACTATCTTGTTTAGTCTTTCACAAATCCAGTGTATCATTTGTCATATATAATAAATGCACAGCATAAAGAATGGTAATAGCACAGTATTTTGCTTTTATATAATAAATGAACCTGATGAGGGTTTAGGTTATGCTTCTACTGTTTTGGGGCTGGAGAGATGATTCAGAGGTTAAGAGCACTGGAAGTTCTTCCAGAGGTCCTGAGTTCAATTCCCAGCAACCACAGGGCAGATCATGCCCATGTCCTTCCTTGCCAGAACACTGTATACATAATAAATAAATACTATTGCTATTTTAATTTTATTTAGAAATTATTTTTTTCTTCTTTCTTATTCGCAGCCCCCCTTTTTTTTTGTCATCCGTCCCCCATCCCAAGAGCTTACAGAGATCCGCCTGCCTCCGAGTGCTGGGACTAAAGGCGTACGCCACCACCACCCAGCATCTTATTTCTCCCTTCTTCAATTTTCTTCTCTTTGATTTTCTTTTCTGGGGCAAGGTCTTGTCTTGAAGCCCAGACTACTGGCCTCACACTTGTGATCCTCCTTCAAACTGCATGACTGCAGGCATGTGCATAATCAGGTCTTATGAATGATCTTTTAAAGGATTGTTTGGATTTGACTCAGTAAATAAAGATGGTCTGAGCTACTTAAGCATCAAATTATGTATGTAGTGAAACCTTGAGTGTTTTGGAAATGATATTGAGACATGTTTATGATTCCCTTTATATAGAGCTGACTTCAGATGAGCTGTCCTCATGAGACTGCCTTTGTTTTCCATGGCAAATTAAAAAAAAATAATTCACAAAATAACCAAAATTATTTCCTTATGTTTTAGTTATTTTTAAGTTAATGTTTTGGGCAAAATTTGTTGATACTGAATGTTGTATACATTTGAGGTTTTTGTTTGGTTTTGTTTTTGAGATAGGGTCTCTATATAGTCCTTGCTGTCCTGGAATTCACTGTATAGGTCAGGGTGGCCTGGAACACACAGGCTTGGGGTTAGAGGTGTGCACTACCACGTTCAACCTAGATCTGTTCTTTTTTTTAATAACTAAGATAGTTTATGAACAAAACAAATAGGAAAAAACAAAATAAAGGAATGTGCCAAGTGTGATGGCCCTGCACTCGGGAGACAGAGGCATCCTGCTCTGCTGTTAAACAGATCTGACCCACAGAGTAAGTTCAGGAGACAGAGGCATCCTACTCTGATGTTAAACAGATCTGACCCACACAGTAAGTTCAGGACAGCCATGGCTGCAAACAGCACTCGTCTCAAGACATACAACAGAACAAAGAAGAAAAAAAAAAGTGGAAGAGGAGAAGGAAAAATAGGTAAGAAAATGATATATGCCAGGCAGTGATAGTATGCACTTTTAATCCCAGCACTCAGGAGGCAGAGGCAGGTGGATCTCTGTGAGTTCAAGGCCAGCCTGGTCTACAGAGTGAGTTCCAGGACAGCCAGGGTTACACAGAAAAATCCTGTCTTGAAAAAATAATATCAAAATGAATATAAACTTGCAAACACATTGTTAATATATGCTGTTTTACCTCCTCTAGCCTTATTAGCATAGTAATACATTTATTTGATGTAACTAAATTTTTATATCTCTATTTGAAATTAGTGTTTAAGAGAAATCTGGGGAAAATGCTACAATTATTGTTTTGTTGTTCACAGGAAGGGAGGAAATAATAAATTAATAAAGATCTATCATCGAGATGGTAAATACGGCTTTTCTGACCCCCTGACATTTAATTCTGTGGTGGAACTCATTAACCACTATCACCATGAATCTCTTGCTCAGTACAATCCCAAACTTGATGTGAAGCTGATGTACCCAGTATCCAGATACCAACAGGTATGACCATAGACATTCTCATATCATTATTTTATATAATTTTAGTCTATTTATCAGGCTCATTGGTTAAAAAGAAGTCTAGTTTATATTTATTTTCCTGATTAATCCTGAGTGTGGTGGTGCTTGCCTTTAATCCCAGCAGAGGCAGGGGGACCTCTTCGAGTTCCAGGCCAGCCAGGGCTGGCTGTATGAATCTCTCTCTCTCTCTCTCTCTCTCTCTCTCTCTCTCTCTCTCTCTCTCTCTCTCTCTCTCTCTCTCTCTCTCTCTCTCTCTCTCTCTCTACACACACACACACACACACACACACACACACACACACACACACACACACACACACACACACACAGAAAGAAGGAAAGAAGACATATTCCTAAGTAGCATTTTAGGTATTTTAGTTTAGTTTTTTTGGTTTTGGTTTTTGAAATAGGGTTTGATATTGGTAGGCTGACTTTGAAATCACTATTCAGTTAATGTCGAACTTGAATTTCTGATCTTCCTTCCTCCAGTCTCCTGAGTTCTAGGATTGTAGCTTTTGCTCTCATACCTCACCTGTGTAGTTTTTTTTTTCTCTCTTGGGGCCCACCACCCAGCTCTCAAATAAATATACAGAGTCTTATTCTTACTTATGAATGCCTGGTCTTAGCTTAGATTGTTTCTAGCCAGCTTTTCTTAACTTAAATGATCCATCTACCTTTTGCCTCTGGGCTTTTACCTCCCTCTGTTCTGTATACCTTTTTTATTTCTTACTCCATCTCTGGCTATGCGGCTGCTCTCATTCCCTCACCCCCGCCCCCCAGACAGAGTTTCTCTATGTAAACCCAGTCCTGGCTGTTAGAACTTGCTTTGTAGACCAGGCTGGCCTCAAACTCTCTGAGATCCACCTGCCTCTCCCTTCCAAGTGCTGGGATTAAAGGTATGTGTCACCACCGCCTGACTGAAACAAGTTTTTAAAAATTCTGGCTCCTTCTCTCTTTTTTTTTTTCACTCCTCCTCTTCTCTTTTTCCTCCTATTTATCCTTTCTGCCTGGCAGCCCCACCTATCACTCTCCTGCCTTGCCATTGGCCATTCAGGTTTTTATTATCAAGTGTGTTAAGCAGGCAAAGCAACGTAGCTTCACAGAGTTAAACAAATGCAATATAAAAGAATGCAACATATCTTCACATCATTAAACAAACATTCCACAGCATAAATGAATGTAACACATCTTCAACTAATATTCCACATCAGGGAGGTGTATATAGAGGCCAGAGGTCATCCTTGAGTGTTAGTCCTCAGGAGCAATCCACCTTTTTATTTATAGTCAGGGTCTCTCATTGGAACCTGAGTTTACTGATTAGCCCAGGCTGGATAACCCTTGAGCCCCCAGGAATCTACCCATTTTTAGTAGTGGGATTCAAGTATGTGGCACCAAACCTCACTCTATACTTACCAGCTGAGTGTCAGATTCATGTTTACTGTATATATAACAAGCTGAGCTATCTCTCCAGCTTCCTTCCTTCCTCCCTCCCCCCCTTCCTTCCTCCCTTTCTCCCTCCCTCTGTCCCTCTCTCCCCCCTCCCTCCCTCTCTCCCTGCCTCCCTGCCTCCCTCCTTTCTTAATTTAAAAAAAGTGTGTGTGTGTGCTCGTGCCTACCTGTGTGTCCTTGTGCTCACGTGCCTGTGCCTGCAAAGGCTAGAAGACATGACATTTCATCTCTTGGAGCTGTAAACTACTGGAGGTGAGTGTTGGGAATGAACATGGGACCTCTGAAGAACTTAAAATCTGGTCTTAGTGTCACTAAAAAGTGTTTTTCTTGCCGGGTTGGTGATACATACCTTTAATCCCAGCACTAGGGAGGTGAGGATGCTATGAGTTGCAGGCCAGCCTGGTCTGCATACTGAGACCCTATCTTAAGAAACAGAATAAAATAAAATCCTCACAAAATCAAAGTGTTTTTGGTGCTTAGTATTAAAACAGTGACTTCTAAAGTTGAAATATAATATGAATGTAAGCAGACTTGGAAAAACATGTTAGAATTAATAACATTGCTTTGTTTTATTTTTGTCTGTCTGTGTAGGATCAGTTGGTAAAAGAAGATAACATTGATGCAGTAGGTAAAAACCTGCAGGAGTTCCACTCTCAGTATCAGGAGAAGAGTAAAGAGTATGACAGGCTATATGAAGAGTACACCAGGACATCTCAGGTGAGATCCTAAGTAGTTGACTGGATAAAATTCTGCTGTCTTCATATCTTAACTGTCTTTTGAGATTTTGGTGATACAAATATACTCCCATTCATACCTTTTTTGTTATTGTTGTTTGAAATACAACAAGCTAGGAATGTGGCTTAACTGGTAGAGTGCATATTGTTTGCCTATTAGGTTTGACCCTAGCATCACTTAAAACTGGATGTGGTGGTGCAAGCCTTTAATCTCTGGCACTGGGGAGTTGGAAGTTGGAGGATCAGAAATTCAAGGTCATCCTCAGCTGTATAACCAGCTCAAAGCTTATCTGGGATTCATGGGAACCTGTTTCCTTTTTTTTAATTAGGTAATATTAAATAAATAGTTGTAGATTATAGAAATTAACAAAATGACAAGTTCGTGAGATAGAAATTAATTTTTGTCCATATGGACAGTACAGGGCTGTTTCAGTAGTTCTACAGTCATGATGATTCTTGGATTTTTGTTTTATGCTCTTCTTATGTAACATGAGCAGTCACATAAGATAAGGGAAGAATAGGAAAATAGGAAGGAAAAAGGAAGTCTATCCCCCCATCCCCAGGGTTTCTCTGTGTAATCCTGGCTGGCATGGAACTCACTCTGTAAATCAGACTGATCTCAAACTCAGAGATCCACTTGCCTCTGAGATTAAAGTCATGTGCCATCTTGTCCAACAGGTTTTATGCTTTTTAAGACAAATTTATTAAATGTGTATGAGTGTTTTGCTTGTGTGTTTGTGCACCATGTGCATGCCTGGTGCCCATGGAGGTCTGAAGAGGCCATCAGAACTGGAGTTATGGATGGTTGTGAGCCATCGTGTCGGTGCTAGAAATCAAAAGTGGGTCCTAGCCACTCAGCCATCTTTCCAGCCTGAGGGTTTCTGCTTTAAAGTTTGTATTTCTGTTTATTTTATGAAGTTGATAGTAATGACCCTTCTTGGAGTTTTTTTGTTGTTGTTTTGTTTTGTTTTTGACACAGGGTTTCTTTGTGTAGCTTTGGCTGTCCTAGAACCAGACTGACCTCAAACTCACAGAGACCCACCCACCTCTGTTTCCTGAGTGCTGGGATTAAAGGTGTGAGCCACCAATGCCCGGCTTTTCCTAGTTTCTTAAGTTATCCAATTAGATTATTGATTTTAGAACATGCTTCTCTTAAAAAAATAACTTGTTATTAGTATGTGTGAGGATAATAGTGTCACTGCACACTTGTGCAGGTCAGAGGACAACTTTGTGCAGTCATTTAGAACCTGCGTGGTCTGATGCCAGGGCCTTTTTACCCACTGACAGTTTGCTTTCTGTCGCTGTGATAAGAGCATGATCAAAAGCAGCTTGGAAGGAAAGGTTTGTTTCATCTCACAGGTGTAGTCCATCATGAAGGAAGTCAGAGCAGAACCTGAAGCGGAAACCATGAAGGAATGCTTCTTTCTGACTTGCTCCCCATGGTTTATTCAGTTTCCTTTTTTTTTTTTTTTGACAACCCCAGGATTGATTCAGAACGTGTCGCACAGACTTTTACGGGTTAGTCTGATGAAGTATATTCTCAGTAAGGCTTCCTCTTCTGAGATGGCCCTACCTTGTGTCAAGCTAATAAAAGTAACCCACACCCCTTGAAACTTTCCACTACCGTCCCTCTCCTACTGTTTTTTTAATCATAGGTGTTTACATCTATGAAATTCCCTGAATATTGCTTTGTCACACCCCGTAAGTTTTCTTATGGGAGTGATTAGGTTTCATTTATCTCAAGGCATTTTTCTAATTTCATCTGCCATTTGTTTGCTTATTTGTTTGTTTGAGTCGAGGTCTCATTGTGTGGTCCTGGCTAGTTTAGAACGCTGTGTAAATGAAAGTAGCCTAGAGCTTACAGAGATCTGTCCACCACTGTCTCACAAGCCTTCAGAGATCTGTCTACCACTGTCTTACAAGCTTACAGAGATCTGTCCACCACTGTCTCACAAGCCTTCAGAGATCTGTCCACCACTGTCTCACAAGCCTTCAGGGATTAAAGGATACCACCACATTTGGCCTTTGTCATTTAGTTTTGAGTCATTAGTTGTTTAGGAGCATGTTATTTAATCTCTGTATCTTTGTTATTTTCTGGTTTTTCTTCTGTGATTGATTTCTACTTTCTTTTCACTGTGGATCAGAGAGGGTCTGTATGATTTCAGTCGTTTAAAATTAATCAAAACTTGAAGAGATGGCTCAGCATTTAAGAGCAATTGTTCTTGCAAAGGATTTGGGTTGGCTCCCAACACCCTCATGTTGGTTCACAAGCATTTGTAGCTATAGTGTGAATCAGATGCATTGGTAGCTATAGTATGAATCAGATGCCCACCTTTGTCACGTCTGTTGCGCGGCCTGTGTCCGAGAACGTGCGGAGGGTGTCGGGTATTGAAAACACAGAGACTCGTTTAATGATATAAAGAGAACTTTAAACAGGCTCCAAAAAGGTTCAAGAAAAACTTCCTAAGAAAAGCTCCCACCAGAGAAGCTTCTGCTCTCTCCTCTCCCCTGGCTGGTTCTGCTCTGACACCAGAGGTGGATGTGTGTGGGTTTTTGAAGGTGCGGTTAGTCTTTGGACAAGGTCGAGGTCAGGGCGGTTTCCGTGGGAAGGCCTTTCCCAGGAACTTATTGTATCGTTTTTAGTAAACATGTTTTTACTAAACATTGTCTTACAGCTGCCTACTCCCAGGCAGAAGGGGAAGTGGCCAGGAACTTATTGTATCGTTTTTAGTAAACATGTTTTTACTAAACATTGTCTTACAGCTGCCTACTCCCAGGCAGAAGGGGAAGTGGGTCTCTGCTCAAGGTCTGGTGTTCCCACACACCTTTGACCTGAAGGCATCAGGCACAAATGTGGTGCACATATAAAACCAATGCCCTGCCCCTCCTTTTTTTGAGTCAGGGTCTCACTATATAGTCCTGGATAGCCTGGACTCACTATGTAGATCAGGCTAGACTTGAACTCACAGAGATCTATGTGACTTTACCTCTCAAGTGCAAGGGCTAGCATTAGAAGTTTGTGCTAAGCCAGGTGTTGGTGACATACCTCTTTAATCCCAGCACTCGAGAAGCAGAGGCAGGAGGATCTCTGTGAGTTCGAGGCCAGCCTGGTCTACAGATGGAGTTCATTTTTTTTCTTTTGTTAATGACTATTTTATGCATTTTCCCTTCAAATCATATAAAATAGAAGAGGCAATACTTGGGGTATAGCTCATTGATAGAATCCGGTTTTGCTCTCTAGCTCTGGAAGAAAAATCCCCCAAAGCTTTATGATATATAATGGTCATTTCACCATCCATATAATGCTGATCACTTTAATGAATTCAATCGGTAAAAGTCTTAATAACATTTTCTCCATTCTACCACCACATACTAGGCTCATCACAGTTAATTCATCTGGAAATGCTAAAGTAATAAAAGACATTGAAACTGGAAATTAAGGTCTAGACACTAGACACACACATGGTAAAAAATAAATAAATGTCCTCAAGCCTTCTGACTCCTGCAGGCTTTCTTCCCCCTCTTCTGTGGGGTTTTCCTGGCTCTGCCTAGTGTTTGGCTGTGGGTCTCTGCATCTGCTCCTATAAGTTGTTGGATGATGCATCTGTGATGACAGTTGGGCCAGACACTTTTCTATGCATATAGCAGGATATCATTAGAATCATTTCATTGACTTTTTTTTGATAGTCATGTTTGGTTCTATCCTGGGTCTCTGGGCAGGCCAGCCTCTGGTTTCTGGCCATCCAGGCAGTGTCAGGCATGGGTTTCCTCTCATGGCAGGGCTTCAAGTTGGACCGACCAGGCATTGGTTGGCCACTCCCACAAGTTCTGCATCACCATTACCCTAGCATATCTTGCAGGCAGGACAGATTGTGGGTCAAAGGTTCTGTGACTGGGTTGGTGTTCTGTCCCACTGCTGGAAGCCTTGCCTGGTTATAGAAATGGCTAGTTCAGGCTCCATATCCCCCATTTCTGGCAGTCTTTGCTAGGATCACTCTCACAGGAGCCAGAGGGATTGAGAACACTAGGAGAACATGACCCACAAAATCAGGACTCACAGAGACCAAAGCAACAATCATGGACACTTTGTGTAGCTGAGCTAGGTCCTCTGCATATGTTATGATTGTGTAGCTTGGTGTTCTTGCAGAACTCCTAACAGTGGGAATGGGAGTGTGTCTTTGACTCTTTTGCATGCTCTTGGGACCCTTTTATACCTACTGGGTTGTTTTGTTCAGCCTTGATAGGAAGGTTTGTACCTATTGTCACTTGTTACGACATGTTTGTTTGGTTGATATCCCTGGGAGGTCTGCTCTTTTTTTTGAAGGGAAATGGAGGAGGGTGGATCTGGGGAGAGAGGGAGTGATGGAAGCAGTGGAGGGAGGAGAAAATATGATCAGGATGTAATTTGTGAGAGAAGAATACAAATAAATAATGTTTTTAAAAATTGAAATTAAACACACATTAAATACACACATACATTAAGGCATACAACAGATGTAGCACAAATATCAAATAGCTAGAAAAGTTATCAAAATAATTTTTTTTGTTTTTGTTTGTTTTTTGAGACAGGTTTTTTCTGTATAGCCCTAGTTAGTTGCTCTGTAGACCAGGCTGGCCTTGACTCACAGAGATCCACCTGCCTCTGACTCCTGAGTGCTGGGACCAAAGGTGTGTACCACCAACACCCAGCTCAAAATAATTCTTAATAATTAAAAAGATAAAAATGGAATCAGCTTCCACACAAGACTATGGACCAGCACATTTTGGCCATTTGAATTATACACCTTTTCAGCAGAAATCTGGTGTTCTACTTCAAGGTAGTCTCACCTGTAGGCTTTACTATATTGATTCAAAATAGTCACATCTTCCTCCTGACTTAGGCAAAGCCTTAGTGTTATAGTAGTCTTTTATAGCTTGTGACCATTCAAATAAATCCTGTTCACTGTGTCTTCAGTATATATACAGAACCTAAATGTTTCTCATCACCTTTACTACTGATACCTTGTCCAAAGATAGCATAATTTCTTGCCTAGTGTGTTAATTTTTCTGATGCTATGATACACCTTTAGTCCCAGCACTGTGATGGCTGAGACATGCAGATCTCTTTGAATTTGAGGCCATCCTGGTCTGCATAGCCAGTTCTGCACCACTTTGGGATATTTAACAGACATAACATGCAGCATACGATAAAATACTTGAGAGAGTCAGCCTCAAAGGGGGGGAAAGGTTTGCTTTGAATTGTAGTTTTAAACGTTTCAGTGTAGTATCAGAGGAGAGGGAGAGAGGCCAGGGTTCTGCTAGCTCCTTTAAAGGTGTGCTTTCAGTGACCTAACTTCCTGAAGGTTCTACCTCTTCCCAGCTTCCAGGAAGCTGTCCATAAAGCCTTAACAATGAGCCCTTGGGGGAACACTGCAGATTCAAGCTTCCTCTACTTCATAAGCCTCCTAACTGATACTCTTTCCCCCATCCTCCACTCTTCATCTCCTAAATCAGTTTTCACCTTATCAGCCAGGTCAAGTCACAGTCTTCTGTGTTTGTTTTAGTGAATGTGTGGAAGACAGAGGTCAAGCTCAGGTGTTGTTCATATGGCATTGCCCACCTTGTTTTTTGAGATAGGATCTGTCTGAAGTTTGTCCAGTAGACTAGGCTAGCATTTGTCTCTACCTCTCCAACATGGAGACCAAAAGCACATGACTGTCCCTGGATTTTTATGTGGGTTCTGGGGCCAGATTCAGTCCTTTAGCTTGTGTGGCAAGTACTTTGCTGACTGGGCTGTTGCCACAGGCTTACTCCTTGTTTTTAAAAAACAAACAAACAAAAAGCCCTCAACATAATCTCCAAACCCTGTATTAGTCAGGGTTCTCTAAAGTTAAAAAAAAAAAGTGTGAGCTCATTGTATACTTGAGGCAAGCCTGAATTTCTCAACATCCTGTCTGTACCTCTTGAATGCTAGGATTGTAAACATGAGCCACTATGCCTGGCTCTGACTTTAGTTCATTAATAATGTTTTTTTTTCTTTTTTTTTGAGACCGGGTTTCTCTGTGTAGTACCAACTATCCTGGAACTTACTTTGTAGACCAGGCTGGCCTCAGACTCAGAGATTGCCTGCCTCTGCCTCCCGAGTGCTGGGACTAAAGGTGTGTGCCACCACTGCCCTGCTTCATTTCTTGTGTGTAAGTGTGTGTGCATTCGACAGCATGTGTGCGTCAGAGAACAGCTTCCAGTGGTTGGTTCTCTTCCTTTCCTCAGGTTTGGTGTCTGTCAGATGGTTTTTCTCACTGAACCATCCTCTTAGTCTGGACATTATTCCTTAGAACTGGTCACTGTTCTCTCCTGGCTTACTGTTTTTGAATACACGACACCTGATTCCCACCTTGCAGCGTTTGCATTGGCTGCCTGCTTCAAAAACTTTGTAAAAACCTGGCTAACTCGCTTGCTTCCTTTAAGTTTTCCCAAATGTCATCATCCCAGTAAGGCCTACCTGGCATCTTTATTTAATAAATTTGATTTATTATCGAGGCATAGTGACAAGTGCCTGTAATCCCAGCACTTAGAAAACAGAGGCAGGAGGATTGGGTATTCAAAGCCATCCATAGATACATATAATGACTTCAAGACCAATCTGGGTTACATGAGACCATGTCTCAAAATGAAAGCAAAAATTAAAATTGTAACATGTTACTATGTGTAGTGGTATTATATACCTATCATCCCAAGACTAAGAGACTAAGGCAGGGGGATTTCAGATTATAGGCCAGCCTGGGCAATATCGTGAGGTCTATTTTAAAACAAACAAATAAGCAAACAAAAATCCCATACAGCAACAACAAAATTAATGAAAGGCAAGAGAGACGGGTGAACAGGTAAAGGTACTTGCAGCAGCAGCCTGGAGACCTGAGTTTGAGTCCTGGCCCCCATGGAAAAGTGGAAGAAAAGAACCAATTTCACCAAGTTGTCCTCTGACCTCTACAAACATGTCATGGCATGAAATCTGCCTCCCCATAACAATAATTTAAAAGCATTAGTAACTTCAGTTGGTTACTTCTACCTTGTCATGAAGCCAAACCTTAGTAGAGTTCAGAAATCTGTATACTGTCTGAGTCCTGGGTGACAGGGTCAGTCTCACAAATTCTCTTCATTGTCCATCAGGTAGTTTGTGGTGTAGTGTGTTCTTAGTAAACATTAATTGAAATTGGTTAATGCGAGGTAGTGGCAGAACTGCCCTGCTAGTGTAAGAATTTCTAGAATTACAAATATACAATCTGGCCATCTTTCTGGAATCTTGTGCACAATCATTACTTTCCTGAGAAGCACACTGAAGCCCTTTCTGAAGATTTTAGGGCCATCCTGAATCAAATGCTAATGCAGTGTATTGTATCCTGGGATGGAGAGGTGGCTTAGCAGGTGAAGGTGCTGCCTCTAAGCAAGATGATGCAGGACCCACAGAGTGGTAGGAGAAAAACAGTGACTTCCACAGGCAGGCACCTTGCTGTGCACATAGGCATACACACAAAAATTAAAATAAATATAGTAAAACATAAAAAATATTAAAACCTTGATATCCTCAGAGGTCATTAGAATGTATGAGAGACTAAATGACTTAATCTAATTGGCATTTTGGAATTAGTAAGTCTATTTTGTAGGATTTTTAGGTTTTCATCTTAGTACATCTGACTTTAGTAGATATTCTCTCTGCTTTTTTCTTCTAATTAGATTAGTGATGAAGCTGGAAAATTCAGCCTGCAATTTTGTAATGAAAGGGATAATAAATAAACTCTACACAGTTCTTCTGGGAATAAGATTTTGAATATTGGTATATGAACTCCTCATCTTTCCAGTCACTCTTTCAGTTAAGGATTAGTATTGCAATAATTGGTGCACCTTGTAGTCATGGTGTTCATTTTGTCAGTCTCTTGGCAATTGATAGGCCTTTCTGTGGCTCTTAGCCATAAATCAGGCAATGGTTCTTTTTACTTATTCTATAATCTGAAGTGTTTTATATCTACGTAGTAGAGAAGGGTTGAATAAAGAAACTGTTTTTGCCCTGCTATAGGGTCTTAATAATTCTTTTTGTTTGTTGAGATAGGATGTTATACAATCCAGAGTAGCCTTGAACTTTGTGTTGCCAATCATGACCTTTAAATTCTGGTCCTTGGATCTCTACCTTCTAAGTGTTGGGATTACCCAGTAATTTGTGTATGATAGACAAGCATTCTAACAATTGAGATACATCTCCTGTCCCCCCACCACCTCCACCAGTGCTGGGGACTGAATCAAGGACCTTTCATATGCTAGATATTACTATTGAACCACAAATCTAGTCTGCATAATTGGTTGATAAAGGCTTATAATCAAAATTACAAGATTGGTTTTAAGATGAAGATTATAAAAATATGATAAAGTGTTTGTGTGTTTTTTTCATTTAGTTAAAGCTGGCCTTAAGCTTTCTCTGTAGATGAAGTTGGCCTTGAACTCCTACTTGCCTACTGAATGCTGAGATTATAGTCAGGAACTACCCTGCCTAGTTATTAAGTGTATATTGTTTATTTTCCTCCTGTAGGAAATACAGATGAAGAGGACTGCAATTGAAGCCTTTAATGAAACTATTAAAATATTTGAGGAGCAGTGTCAAACCCAAGAACAACATAGCAAAGAATATATTGAGCGATTTCGCAGAGAGGGGAATGAAAAGGAGATTGAACGGTAAGTGTACTTAATACCTCCAAGTGAGTAATGAAATAAGACTTTTTTTCTTCATTAATAATTTTTGTCCTGTTTTTTTATACCACCTCAAGTTGCCCATATAAATGTTATACGGAACTATTGGCTGTTCACAGTAATGCATGGTACCAAATGGCATCTTTTCTTTTTTATATGTTTTCTTTTCTCCGCAAATTCATATATTTATATTTTTTTTCTTTTTTTAAATTGGTGGTTTTTGCCTGTATGTCTGTGTGAGGGTGTTGGATCCTGGAATTACAGACAGTTGTGAGCTGCCATGTGGGTACTGGGAATTGAACCTGGGTCTTCTAGAAGAGCAGTCAGTGCTCTTAAATGCTGAGCCATCTCTCCAGCCCCTTACTCTGTAAATTCTTAATCCTTACCCATCCTGTAGGACTTAAGTTAGATATAAACTTTTCCAGAAGAGTCTTCTATTTAGGGGTGTTGTGTAAGTGTTCATACAGTGTCGGGTCCTGATCCCAGTTATAACATATGCTCATTCAATTGCAAACTCACTAAGAATATACATGCTGGCTTCCCCCCCAATATAGCCCAGCACATATGTCTGTCACAGTCATCCTTTATGTAATCTGGGAATTGTGGCACGTACCTATAATCTGCTGTTCCAGAGACAGGCAAGAGGACCAGCCTGTGTAGCATAGTGAGACCCTGTCACAAACAACAAACCCAACAAGATATTATGACCCTGTTTATGCTTCCTGGCCCTCTGCTTCTGTTTTTATTTTAGCTTTAATATGTCATATTTTCACAGAATTATGATGAATTATGATAAGTTGAAATCACGTCTTGGTGAGATTCATGATAGCAAAGTGCGTCTAGAGCAGGACTTGAAGAAACAAGCTTTGGACAACCGGGAAATAGATAAAAAAATGAATAGCATCAAACCGGACCTGATCCAGCTGCGTAAGATCCGGGATCAGCACCTTGTGTAAGTAGTCTGGGGCTGAATGCTGAGGGACACACCAGCATCAGGTAGTACTAAAACTAGAAATGCCATCAATGGGAGAAGAACTTGGAAACTAGAAAGCAATATGTAAAAATTTAGGAATGTAGTCCTATAGTAGTAGGAGGTCCCAGAATGGCACAAACCAAGTCAGAATATAGTACTCTGCTTCATGGAGATACTTGGAAACTCTCAGACAAAATTAGCAAAGTGTTAAAAGAGTAAAAAGTACATGTTGGGGCTGAAGAGATGGCTCAGTGGTTAACAACACATGATGTTCTTCCAGAGGGCCTGAGTTTGGGTCCCAGCATCCACATTGTGGCTCATAACTGTCTGTAAATCCAGTTCCAGGGGATATGGTGCCTTCTTTGGACTCTGTGAGTATTAGGCACGTGCATGATGCACAGGCATACTTGTAGGCAAAACAGTTATATTATAAAATAAATCTAAAAAATTAAAAGTATGTTGATGTTTTCTTAAAACTAGAAACTGTAGTTTTATGATAGAATCACAGAAGAATTATTCATTCAGGGTAAATTCTACAAAAAAGTAAGCAGAACAGGTAGTTCCTTAAAGGATATTTATGCTTGAGAAATGAAATTTGGTATGTGGTGACACATGTCTGTAATCTCAGTTCTCAGGAGGCAAAAGCAGTAGGTCCAGGAGTTCAAGCCCAGCTTCCGCTACATAGCAAGTTTTAGGTCAGCCTGGGCTTCATGAGGCCCTGTTTAAAAAACAAACAAGAAAAAAATATAGTTGTGGTGCTGAGAAGGTGACTCAGTGGGGAGAGGCCACCAAGCCTGACAACATGATTTCAGCCAATGCCTGGGACCCACATGGTGGAAAGAAAGAACCAACTCCTATAAATTGTTCTCTGACCTCCACTAAGTGCCATGCCTCCTCTCCCTAAAGTAAAAAACAATGCATATTTATAAAAAATAAGAGAAGTGTGTGTATAGTAGGTGTTGTTGTTTGCTGCAGCTATGGGCGATGAAACACAAACCACAAAACACAACAAAACCCATGTGGAGTTTATCAGGAAAGGGAGCAAAGGGAGGGTTAGGTGTTTGCTGACCAGGAGCAGAAATGCAGGGAACAGGCGGGAGATGCTTTCTTTAAAGGGAAAGCTTGCACATGCGTACAGAGTCCTTATGCAGCCACACAATGCATGATGTAGCCACACAATGCAGGGCCCATTGAGCTGTCTAAGTGTCTGCCTGAATGCCAGTGTATGTACCCTGCCAGTTGTCAGGGGGCGGGGTCAGCATAATGCCAGGATATCAACAGTAGGTATTTGAGATCCTCTGAGTAATAAAAAACAATGCTTTTTAAAACATTTTTCTTTATTTTTATTTTATGTGTATGAATATTTTGCCTACATGTATATATGTCTGTATATGAACTGTGGTGGTTTGAAAGAAAATGGCCCCCACAGGGAGTGGCACTATTAGGAGGTACGGCTTTGTTGGAGTAGGTGTGACCTTGTTGGAGGAAGTGTGTCACTGTGGGGGTGGACTTTGAGGTCTCCTTCTCAAGCTCTAGTCAGTGTGACAGTCAATTGACTTTGTGTTGTCTGTAAGATGTAGGACTTTCAGCTCCAGCATATCTGCCTATAGGCTGCCGTTGTCCCCACCATGATGATAATGGACTGAACCTCTGAAACTGTAAGCAAGCCACCCCAATTAAATGTTTCCTTTATAAGAGTTGCCATGGTCATGGTGTCTCTTCACAGCAATAGAAACCCTGACTTAGATATGGACCATATTCCTTAGGAGGCACTCCATGTTGGATCCTTTGGGACTGGAGTTACAGGTAGGTGTGAGGTTACCTTAAGGATGCTGGGAATGAACCCTGTGTAGCCTATGCTCAGTGGTGGAGTTTCTCTGTCCTGGCAGCTGCTCTCAAATAACCATACTGAGACCTATTATTAATCATAAATGCTCAGCCAATAGCTCAGGCTTGTTACTAGCTAATTTTTTTTTTACCAGTTAATTCTTACATCTTAAATTAGCCCATATTTCTTATCTATGCTCTGCCACGTGGCTTGGTACCTTTTCTCAGTAGGTAAAGTTCACCTCCTTCTCTCCAAGTCTCCTTGTGATTCTGAGGCTCCTCCCCTTCTTTGTTCTCTCTTTGTCTGCAAGTTCCGCCTAACCTCTACCTGTCCAGCTATTGGCCAGTCAGCTTCTTTATTAGCCCAGTCATGATGATATATATATTCACACAGTGTAAAGGAATTTTCCACATGTGCTCTAACTGCACTTTCTCCAGCTCCCAACTCCCTCTTTTTCTTTTGGTTTTTGAGACAGTGTTTCTCTGTGAAGATTTATTCATTTTTATGGATGAGTGTTTTGCCTGCATGTATGTTGTACTCCAAGTGCATTCTTGGTACCTTTGTAGCTTCTTGGGCTTCTTTTCTAACATTGCCTCAGGTTTAAGATTTTAGTGTTATGAGAGCTTTCTTTGTCCCAGCTGGTCCCTTCTCAGCCCAAAAATAAATACACAGAGACATATATATTAATTATGAAACTGTTGGCCAGTGACTAGGGCTTCTTAATTACTAATCCATTTCTATTAATCTAAGTATTTCCACATGGTCTTATCAGAGAAGATTTGGGACCTCTAAGTCTTTTGGTGGCTACATGTCTTCTCCTCTCTACCTACACTTCCTAGAATTCTACTCTTCCTAGTCCTGCCTATATTCTGCCTCTTTGGCCAGACTGTTTTATTCATCAACCAATCAGAGAAACATATGTACAGAAAGATTTTCTCCATCATGTCAACATGTGAATTTTAGGAGGACACAAACCACTCAGAATGTAGAATGATCTAGACATAGAGCCTTAAACATTCTTTCTATAGTTTTAATAGAAGAATTTAGATTATTGCTGGCATGACTACATGTATTTGTAATCCCAGCACTTTGGAGGTAGAGACCTGGAAATCCAGGAGTCCAAGACCAGCCACACACACCTATTCACATACATACTACATACACACTCCCACAAAACCACCTATCCATCCATTCATATACATACCACACATACTCCCATACCCTCTCTCCACAAACCACCTACACATATCCACACTACCCACCCATTTACACACCCCGCCATTTTACCCATATACATATACTACCACCCCACAAAACCACCCACCCACATTTACCCCCATACACATAGACCTACTCACACACTACCAATACCAGAGAAATAGACAGAAAAGGAAAATGGGGACTCAGAAGAAATCGTGGTGCAACTTTTTCAATTTAAGTTTCTTACCTAGTGTGCTTATTCTTAGTAAAGAGATTAGTTTCTGGAGCTGGAGAGATGGCTCAGAGTTTAAGAGCATTGCCTGCTCTTCCAAAGGTCCTGAGTTCAATTCCCAGAAACCACTTGGTTCACAAGCATTTGTAGTGGCATCTGGTGCCCTCTTCTGTCCTATAGCCATACATACACGCAGCAGAACACTGTACACATAGTAAATAAAGACCGTGCAATCAAAAAAAAAAAAAAAAGAGAGAGAGGGAGATCAGTTTCTTTAAACAAAGAACTTGTTGGTGCTAAGGATGTTTAGAGAAAGGTGTTTGGATATTTTGCCAAAATAAGTGATGGTATAGTGGGGTGGGATATGATGATTAAGATAAAAAATGACCTAATTTTATCTCTTTTTCCTGCTTCACTAAGTATCAAAATGAAATTCAACTTAAGTAAAGGGCAAGTCTTCCTGAGGAAGTCTTCAAAAATCTGCCTTTTAGAGCTTTAAACACTTAGGTGTGATGCAGATTATATAACTTACTTGGGGTCAGTGGCAGATACTAAGGTGATCCTAGATTGTGAAGATTCTCTTAAAAACATTACCAGCAAATATTTACTGAATATTGATTATCTCTGTGCATGTACTGTTTAAGAAGTTGGCAATAGGGGGCTGGAGAGAGGCTTAGAGGTTAAGAGAACTGGCTGCTTTTGAGTTCAGTTCAGTCCCAGCAATCACATGGTGCCTCACAACTATCTATCATGAGATTTGGTGCCCTCATCTGGCCTACAGGTGTTCATGTAGTCAGAACACTGTATACATAATAAATATTTTAAAAATTGGCAGTATAGCCATAAGCATAAGAGAAAGCTCTTCAAAACAACATATAGCTTGGTGGGGGAGATAAGCATAAACATTAAAAATATAAAATAATTAATTTTGTGTTGCATTGGTGGTGCACACCTTTAATCCCAGCACTCGGGAGGCAGAAGCAGGCGGATTTCTGTGAGTTAAAGACCAGCCTGGTCTGCAAGAGCTAGTTCCAGGACAGCTTCCAAAGCCACAGAGAAACTCTGTCTCGAAAAACCAAAACAACAACAAAAAATACTTATTTTTATATTATGTATGAGTGTGGGTGGACAGTGTAGAGGCCAGAGATCCCCATGGAGCTGGGTTGTAGGTAGTTGTGAGCCACCATATGGATCCTGGGAACTGAACTGGGCTTTCTGTAAGAGCAATGTGCGCTTTTTAAATAATTTATTTTTATCTTATGTACATAGGTGTTTTGCCTGTATGCATGTCTATGGGTGCTGGGTGCCCTGAGGTAGTTACAGTGTGAGCCACCTCTCCAGCCCAGTGTGTGCTCTTAACCACTGAGCTGTCTTTCTAGCCTCCATGGAAGTGTTTTTGCTTTATTTTTAAAGACTTATTTATTTATTTTTATTTTACACTTTTTCATTATATATTAGAAACAAGCTTGTTTCCCATGTCAGTCCCAGCTCCCTCTCCCTCCCCTCCACACCCACTCCCTCCCCTCCATGCCCACTCCCTCCCCCCTAGCCCCCCACCCAGTCCCCACTCCATTCCCCAGGGAGGGTAAGGCCCTCCATGGGGGATCTCTAGAGTCTGTCATTTCTTTCTGGGGAGGGCCCAGGCCCTCCCCATAAAGACTTATTCATTATGTATAGTGTTCTGCCTGCAGGCCAGAAGAGGGCACCAGATCTCATTACAGATGGTTGTGAGCCACCATCTGGTTGCTGGGGATTGAACTCAGAACCTCTGGAAGAGCAGCAGGAGCTTTTAACTTCTAAGCCATCTCTCCAGGCAATGAAAGTGTTTTTTATACTCCTGCTTTCGAACATGAACCTCCGCTATGTTTGAATGCAAGTGTGTGTGGGATTCTAGAAAAAAAAAAGAAAGTGCCTAATTTCAAGTCGTTTTCTGTGTTTATTCCTTTTTCAGAAAAAAAAAAATCCATTGTGGCGTTAATTGAAGGAAAAGTAATGGGGAGATAAATTTAGGGAAAATTCTGGCCACTCTATTTTCTAGGGAAAATAAGAGGTTCCTGGACTTTGAAAGTTTGGCGGATTTCGACATATTTCTTTTGTGCAGACAGATTCTGACACAGTGTCTTCCCTCTTGGCAGATGGCTCAATCACAAAGGAGTGAGGCAGAGACGCCTGAATGCCTGGCTGGGAATCAAGAACGAGGATGCTGATGAGTGAGTTTCTCTGCCAGAGGGCTTTGTTCTCAGTGGAAGACTCCTCCCACCATGCGTGTGGAGAGTTGCGCAGTGTCACCAGCAGTACAGGGGACTTTGCGCCCATTTTGAACTGAGTTGCCTGAAGAATATGGTGCACAACTGAGTGTGGAAATCCCCCACTTGCGACTTAGTTGCATACACTGCCACTCAGATGTCTTAACTTACTGAATGAGTTCTGTAGTTTCTACACCAGAGTTAAGTAGTAAAAGCTGTTTAAAACTCACCTAATTGCAATTTTACTTTGTTATTTTATAAAGATTAAGAATAACATTTTATTAGTTTTAGATGAAAGAAAACTGATTTCTAGAATAATATTTCAAATATTTAACTTTTAGAAGCTATTTTATTAATGAAGAAGATGAGAATCTGCCGCATTATGATGAGAAAACCTGGTTTGTGGAGGATGTCAACCGAGTCCAAGCAGAGGATTTGCTTTATGGGAAACCAGATGGTGCATTCTTAATTCGTGAAAGTAGCAAGAAAGGATGCTATGCTTGTTCTGTGGTGTAAGTCTTCTCTGGGGAATGAATTAATGAAAGTCATCATAAAATTGAAATGGAATTAGAGTATGGTGATAAGAATTCATGGTTTACTTAGATCATCAGTGTTTAGTTAATGGTTATAGGATGTAATGGATTTTAGTCTGGCCCTGTTGCTTCCTTACTGTGTAACGTGGGTATGCATGTAACTTACTGTCCCTTGTTTAGTCTCACCTGTAAAGCAAAGGTGATAATAATGCTTGACTTTGAAGTAAATGCTACCTACTAATGTTGTTATGATTATGACGAGACTGTAAGACGGGGTATAAAACAAAGATGACTAAGTGAATGCTTCCAAAGAGCACAAGGCTTAGACAGCTATGGATGTTTTCCTTCATACACAGAATATAAGTATAAATATAAATAACATAAAAGTGAAAGGGGGACAGCCAAGGCTACACAGAAAAACCCTGTCTCAAAACAAATACTATTTGGGAGAATGGGGGATGGGGCGGCAATAGAAAGAGGATAGCCAGGGGAATATATGATCAAGATACAGTGACACATAATGTCTCAGAAATTCTACTGGGATCAGCAAGATGACTCAGTAGGTAAAAGCACTTGCCACGAAGCTTGATGACCTGAGTTCAAGACTCATATGGTACAAGGAGAAAACAACTCCTTCACTGATTTCACATGTATGCCATGCATATATAATATGTGTGCCCCACGATAAAGAAATAAAAGTAATTTTAAATGTGACTTTAAAAAGTCACATTGAAACCTGTTATTTTGTGTGCTAACTTTAAAACAAGGAGGACCATGAAAAGAGGACAAATGAAAAGGATTCACATAGTGATGGGATTACAGGTATAAGCTGTCAGACCTAGTTTCCAGGTTTCATTTCATAAAATATCTACGACAAATAGAATCACTGTGAAATAGTTATCATTAGTAAGCCTTTTATGTGTGGAAATATTCATTCTGGTATGGGAGCTAGAGGTTTGTGGAAGAGGTGTTCGAACTGAACCCTAAATCATGAATGCTGTCTATGGAAGAAATGAAGCAGAATGGCAAAGTACATAGTGTTACAGTCATCTAAGAGTAGCCCGCCTACAGCATCCCACTTTGCCTGACTCTGCTTAAATTGTGTGAGTTGAAATGACAGGGGAGCCAGTTCTCACCAGACTTCAAGTCTTTTAAGAACAAGAAAAGGAGGGCTGTAGCATGTCTCCTGCAGCTGATAAACACTTTCAGCAAAGTGGCTGAATGCAAAGTTAACTTAAAGAAATCAGTAGCTCTCCTATATGCAAATGACAAGTCAGCTGAGAAATCAGGGAAACATCTTTCACAATATCCTCAAATAATGTAAAATGTCTTGGGGTAATGCTAACCAAGCAAGTGAAAGAAACATCATTCAAGTCACTTAAGAAATTGAAGGCAAGCTCTCATTGAGAGTTAGCTCTTCTTTGGCCGGGTGTTGGTGGCGCAGGCCTTTAATCCCAGCACTCGGGAGGCAGAGGCAGGCGGATCTCTGTGAGTTCGAGACCAGCCTGGACTACCAAGCGAGTTCCAGAACAGCCTCCAAAGCCACAGAGAAACCCTGTCTTGAAAAACCAAAAAAAAAAAAAAAAAAAAAAAAAGAAATTGAAGATATCAGAAGATCCCATGTTCATGGATCAGTAGGATTCAAATGGTAAAAATGGCTATCCTGCCAAAAGCAATCTACAGATTCAATACGATCCCAATCAAAATTCCAACACAATTCTTCACAGATCTTGAAAGACAATTTTCAGCTTCATCTGGAAACACAAAACACACAGGAGAGTTAAAACAACCCTGAACAATGAGAGAGCTGCTGGAAGTATCACCATCCCCAATTTCACAGTTGTATTACAGAGCAGTAGTGAAAACAGTGTGGTATGGCACAAAAACAGACACATTGATCAGTGGAGTAGAATTGAAGACCTACACATAAACTCACACGCATATGGACATCTAATTTTTGATAAAGCCATAAATATACATTGGAATAAAGAAGGCATCTTAAACAAATGATGCGGATCTAACTGATGTTTGCATGTAGAATTCAGATATATCCATAGTTATAACTCTGTACAAAATTCACCTCCAAATGGATCAAAGACAGCAACATAAAACCAAATACACTGAACCTGAAAAAGAGAAGTTGGAGAATAGCCTTGAACTCATTGGCACAGGAAAAGACTTTCTGAACACTGTTAACACAGGCACTAAGATAGACAACTAATAAATGTGACTTTTAAACAGAAAAGCTGCTGCATGGCAAAGGACACCATCATTTAGACAGCATGACAGCCTCCAGAATGGGGGAAAGAGGACATTGTGATTGGAAATAGGTGCATAGAGGTTGCAGGCTCTCCCTCCCTCCCTCCCTCCCTCTCTCCCTCCCTCCCTCCCTCCCTGTCTCTGTCTCTCTCTCTTTCTCTCTCTCTCTCTCCCCACACACATATTCATTTATCTATATTTTTTGATAGGGTCTCAAGTCTTACTTAACCCTGTTATATATCTGATACCCTTAGCTTCCGATAATCAGGCCTCTACTTCCCAGGTGATGGGTTCTACTATGTCTAGTTTATACAAAAGTGTATTTCTGTGTACTAGTAATGAGTAACCCAAAATGAGGTGACATGCCATTTAAAATTATGAAATTCTGAGGAATTAAACAGATTTGTACAGTGATATCTGAGCAATGTGATTGATTGAATGAAGCTAAAGAATTTAGTCAGTGAAGACATCTGTATGTTATTATCTACAGCAGTGGTTCTCAGCCTTCCTAATGCTGCAGCCCTTTAGAACAGTTCCTTATGGTGTGGTAACCTCCAGCTATAAAATTATTTCATTGCTACTTCATAACTGTAATTTTGCCACTGCTATGAATCATAGTGTAAATATCTGTGTTTTCTAAGGGTCTCAGGTGGCCCCTGTGAAAGGGTATTTCAACCCCCAAAGGGTCAGGACCCACACACAAATTGAGACCCACTTGTCTAGAGGCAGTTTTCCTGTTCTATTACACTTACTCAGCTCCTTGAAACACAATAAACTTCATTTTCTTTCCTCAAAAAATATTTGAAATATCAGTACTTCATAAAATTAGACTACAAAGTTAGTACAATCCTAATAAACTCCCAAGTCCTAGCTGAATATTTGCAGAAATTAACAAGTTTTCTAAAATTCCTATGAAATGCAAGGGACCCAAAATAACTAAACCAATCTCAAGAAAGGAAGCTGTAGCACTACCACCTTGATTTCAGAGCTCATGATTGTGAGCTATAGCAGTCAACACTGAGGAGGGATTAACAAAGGATAGACATATATGTGGAATGACAGGAAGTGAGGGCTGAGAGGTTAGGTCTATATTTATAGTTAGGTATCTGAAGTCAAGCCTTTAAAGAGGCACAGTTATGTCTGATTGACAGGGTACTTGTGCTTGGGATCCTTTGTATAACTGTTGCTCTGGGCTTTTCTGTCTACTGTGACCTGCCTTAGCATTTTTCTGTGGTTTCATTGCAGCGCGGATGGAGAAGTGAAGCACTGTGTGATCTACAGCACTGCTCGAGGATACGGCTTTGCAGAACCCTACAACCTGTACAGCTCGCTGAAGGAGCTGGTGCTCCATTACCAACAGACATCCCTGGTTCAGCACAATGACTCCCTCAACGTCAGGCTCGCCTACCCTGTCCATGCACAGATGCCCTCGCTCTGCAGATAAGCAGGGTGGGAAGAGACATGGCTCTCCAGCATTTTTCTATGGTTTTAATTAGACTACGATGAGGGCATTCTTTCTACGTAGACTGCTTGTTTTGCACAAGTGATTCTGTGAATGTGAAATGGAGAGGCCGAGCAATAGCTGGCCAGAATTTGGGGATAACTGAGGGGCCCAGGGTTTCTGGACTCAGCTGCGCTGCTGCACTCATGTATTGAGCTGGAAGCAGATACTGGTTTCATGGGGGTTTTGTTGTCAGGCACCTTGAACACTTGTGGGTGGGGGTGGGGTTTTATTTGGAAGCCTCTGAAGAGTTCATGTCCTCTTGTCTTCAGCTCTGAGAATGCAGCAGGTCATGGTTTTGTTGGGAGTTGTTTTGCTTTGACAGTCTCTTCCCATAAGAAGCAGCTAACTTTGGTTCTGTGGTAAGATGGGGTTTGGTTTGGGGGGGGGGGGAAGGCAACCAAAGGAAATAGGGAGGTGTGGGATTTCATTTACAGAATCTAAACCAAGGAGGCAAAAGAGCCCTTCAGTCGATGTTAAATTTTACCAACATAATTTAGGCGTCAGAATCTTAGCATCTCCTCCCTCTAACGCACTATGTTCATGAACCAACAAAGCAACATTGCCAGACCAGGGTCTAAGGGGAAACAGTGACACTAGTAGCTGAATGTACACTTCTGTACCAAAACTTGAAAGTGAGAAAACTAGAAGTGTGAGTTTTAACAAACACTAAAACTGGTCAGTGTGTCTGCTTTTGCCCTGGCCTTGTTTCTGAGATGTTAGAATTGTCTTGTGGGGATAGTGAGCTTTGAGTCATATTGAAGTCAGTGCTTGTGTGGTGCTTCTTTAGCCTAAGGAAGGATGTTTGAAACCTTTGTAACTAGTTTTATGAGTAAAGAAAAGGTGCAATCCAGTGCTTTTAGATGGCTTGATATATACCAAATAATGATAGAGAACAACATGGTTGTGTGTTTCCCCAAGTTTAAAAGCCTTGCCAAAACTATACAAGGATTAATTTGCCTTCATCTCCCCTTCCTTTTCTGGGTAGGGTTTAGGGAGCCATAGGTAGCTAAAGGACTCAGTGTATGGTCAGAGACCTCAGTAAATCACAGACACGTGGGCCCTGTGTCCAGGGTGAAGGGCCCATCACATTACACATTATTAATGTGGTTGAAGCTTTTGCCAAGAGACGGGATATAGCATGGAGTTCAGACTATCTGAGGAAAAAATCTACAAGCTTTCCTGTTTGCCTTTTTTTGTGAGCCTGCCATTCAATTAGTGTCACAGCCTCTCCTCATGCTTCAGTGGCTGTGATTTTAGGCCAGGAATCTTCTGCTCCATGTGGCTTAGGCCTTCCAGCTGAGTGAAATTTGTTAGGTAGAGGGCAGGCATCTATTCTTGGCTTCACATTTATTTAACAGAGTCCAGCTGCTTCAGAGCCAACCCTGGAGCCATAACAGACTCAGTGTGACTCAGCTACTTGGGCCATACTGCCATGCAGTCAGGCATTCTAGTTGAATAAGTTAAGCAGCCGGTACCTGGGTCATAAGGCATCAGGGAAGATCAAACTTGGGGGCCAAAATAAAGATGAACACGATTTTCCCTGAGCATTTATCTTGATGGCAGTGTCTAGAAAGAACCACAGTATAGAGAGATGATCAACAGTTTTAGAAAATTGTTGTCACAGTAAGGATAGGAAGAAAAGGGCATGTCATTGTTGTTGACTTTTCTTTATTCATGCCCAGTATGGAACGAGAGGAAATTGACCTCCCCCAGCCACTGTTCAAGGCCCTGCCTTTCTCAAAATTGCCAGCTTGAAATATTGCTCAGTTCACCTGGTAATGCCAGGCTGCTTGCTGATTAGAATACCCATGTGACTTTGTATCTGATTGAACTTGCTGAAGCAGGTCCATGGTCAGGGTAAGGTGCAAGGAATCCCTGTCTGGCACTAAAATTCTAGTATGTCCTGGATGGAATATAATATACATCTGCAGTATTGAATGATGTCATTATTTGTAGGGCAGATATGGGGGAATGTTCAGGAGACAGAGAGCAGAATCTTAGCATCTACACTTGGGCTGAACTGTGGAGAAAGGCTGTTTTTCAGTTCTATATTCTTTACCTCTAAGTGATCCACTTTGTGGGATCTAAGTACAGGGATCATTTAATAAATTGGAAGGTATCTTTTTCTGACAAGCTGCCACATGATTTACTTGGTCCTGAGCTGTGGAAAGGGCATAAGGACCAGTCTGCTACCAGTGCCCTGTGTCTGGGGGAGTCAGCGTGCTACTACGGCTCCATGGCTCAGAAGCAGGTCTTGGTCTTCTTTCCAAGTCTAGCTTAATGTTCTGTCCCATGACCTGGCCCTGAGACTATACCTCTTTTGGCATCTTAACTGCAGTCTCACTGACTGAAGCAAAGGGTAAAGAGACAGATTAACTAACCAGAGGGCAGATGAGCCAGGCCCCAACATGAAAGCAGCTTTTGGTTGGCTCGATATACTTGTCTTTTAATAACAAAGCAATGCTGTTTACACCTGGCATTGTTCAACCATAGGTCGGTTGCCTATGTTCTTGTCACTGCTCCTGCCATAGATGAAGATAGCCTACAGTTCCACTCCTGCATTTAAGTCCTAGGGTCTCCACATCTACTTCAGACTCCTCGAGCCAGTGTGTGGTGTCTTCCATGTGTCTCACCTTGCTGCAAGGCACCAGCTCCATGCATTCTCCTGATCTAGAAAAAAAAAGTGTCTGAGCAATTTCTGGTTTCTAGGATGATCTCTGTTGCCAGTTAGGACCCCAGAGTAGAGCTCTGTGAAGTTTCCATGGCATCAAACACCAGAGGGTCTGTGCTTGGCCCTTTGCTGCCAACTGCTCAGTTTTGACTAAGCTATCGTCATTTGTGATCGACAACCTTGTTTCTTTACAAATCCTTGCATGTAACTTTGGTATCCTGATGTTTCTTGTGAAAAATCTATTCTGTTGTCTTTGATGTAATAAAAGAATTCACGTAGTTTATGTAAAAATACCTGACTCAGAAGGAAGCCAATTGTGTCTTGTGTTGGGACCATTTTTGCAATTGTTCTTGTCACCAAATGTGTTTGGATGTTGCTGTGCAGTTGTGGGGAAGGGGTGGGGGGGGGAATGTAAGGCAAGAACATTGTTGGGCTTTTTTTTTTAACCTTCTCCAAGACTTGGATGGTCTGGCTGACTTGCTCCAGATGCAATAAAAATATTGCTATGAAGCCCCTTTCTGTATTCTTGGAATGGAAGGCAATGGTCGGCTTGGGGCAGGGTAGGGAGGACGGTAGTTTTAAGGGGCTAAATGGGGACCACTAGAGGTTCTCCCTCCTGTGAGAGGAAATCAATACTTAACAAATCAAACTCAAATACTAATTGAAAAAATTGAGAGCCATTTCCTCCCCTTAGCATCCATTCTTAGTTAAGTGCATTTTATTGGTTATCATGCCCAGAAATAAGCATTTTCTCATTCTACTGTAGCATCAGGAGAAATGGACTTACTAGTCTTACCGTCTTGTCCCTCTCTAAGGTACTTTATCCACAGGGTCAGGGAATGCCTGTTTTGTGCATTTCTTCCCTGCTGTGTCAGAAGTACAAGTCATGAACAATAGGTAGCCCTCTTCCAACCAATTCTATCCTTCATATGTATTTTGGATTTTATTTCCTCTCACCTCTGGAATCTTTTCATTTTTTTTTCCCCCAGCTGGATCAATACTACATTTTACACTTAAATGGCTGGGTGTATAGTCCTGGAGAGATGGTTGACCTTGCAGAGGGCCCAAGTTCAGTCCCCAGCACCCACATGGCAGCTTACATAACCCTGAAATTCCAGTCCCAGAGCATCTGACACCCTCTCTGGCCTCCGTGGCACTGTATGCCTAGTGGTGCAGATATAAGTAAGCAACACCCATACACAAAAACTTTTTTACAAAACAAAAATAATTTGGCTGTCCTCTCACTATTAAATTCTATTCATACCTTTCCCTTAGTATCTTTCTTCACAGCAAGAATCTCCTTCACTCGAGATTTCCTCATATGTTATTATTCAAAGCTGTGCCCTTTGAAGTGCTAAGTACCCACTGCTTGTTTTCTGCATGAGAACTCATCCACTTCACAATGGGACATTCGCCTAGTTCTCTGACATGTTTCAGCTAGAGAGCTTTTCTAGTCTTCCTTACCTTAGGGCTCTTTGCCTAAATTTTGCCTCTATTACTGAATTCACCTACTATGTCTAGGTCAATACATTTCTCTTGCCTAGAATTCCATTGTAAGGTATCTCCTATTCAGTACATTGAACGTAGTAGCATGGGATGCAGGGTGTGGTCTGAATGAGAACAGCGTCACAGGCTCATGTCTGAATACTTGGTCCCCAGGTGATGGAACTGTTTGGGAAGGATGAGGTGTGTGACCTTGTTGGAGGTGTCTCAATGGGGTGGGGGTAAGCTTTGAGGTTTCAAGGTTCCTGCCATTCCTGGTATTCCTGCTCTTTGCCTTTTGCTTGAGGTTCAAGATGTGAACTCTCAGCTCTCCCTGCTGCCATGGTGGGGTTTGTTGTTGTTAGGGTCTATTTATCTCTGGCTGTCCTGGAGTCACTGTGTAGACCAAGCAGGCCTCAAACTTGAGAGATCCTCCTGCTTCTGCCACTCCAAGTGCTGCTGTGACTAATATCTCTATCTATTTATTTATTGGTACTGGCTGTGTCAACTCAGTGTTGTGAATCTTTTGGGTTTACTTTCTTATTTCACTCTATGTTCCCTGGGCAATCCTTATCTTATGTAAGTTTAATTATCATCTATCTTCTGGATAGTTCTCATTGTTGACAGGTTTGTGCACTCTTCTCTGGCTCATGCGAGCCATCACAACCTGTCTATACTACAGCCAGAGAATAGACAGGCTAAGACAAACCTGATACTACTTGTCCGAGACTCTTCGCACACAGCCAGCAGTGTTGTCACTTGGGCTGATGCCCTTGTATGTACATCACAAGATGCTTGGTGGCCGTGCTTTCCTCCCACTCCCTTCCGACCTCCCAGGACTATTTCCAGGGAACTTCCTCCATGCACCCCCTCCACCTATGCCATGGTGCTTCTGACCAGGTCCTGACATGAGCTGTCCTGTGGTCTTCCAGAAAATAGCCTGTGACCTGATTTCTGTACCCAGTGCACCAGCCCAGCCTTTGCAGCTAATAGGGAAGGTATCCCAGATGGACCAGGTGTCTCTTGGAGCCACCAAGTCTTCTAGCCTTAACGAACCAAGCCTGGTTCCCTGTCCTGTGATGCTAACTCTAATCTGATGTACTTCTATTCCAAAACAGAAGTAAACCGTGTGTAGCCTTAGCTAGCGCATAGCTTTTATGTAGAAAGGCTTCAGTTCATGTTGTATAGAAACCTGTTATTATCAATCTAATTTTTGGAGGTTACCATTTTCTCCATAGAAGACAAAGCTGCAAGCTGTAGTGGACTGAAGTACTTGGTCTCCAGGTCTCCCAGAGGTAGATATTAGATCATGGGGGAGGTAGCATTACCATCAGTTCAGGAGGTTTGCCAACTCTGGCAGAGAATCTTCCAGCCTTTACATACCAAGCGTGCTTTCCCTTACCTACCCTTGGGTACCATGCATGTTTTCCCTGTTTCTCCCTTCTACCCCTACACTACTCACAAGTACAGTTCTACTCATTAAGGACTGCTCACTACAATATCAGAGATGGTCATCCGTCTTGTCAGCATTGTATCTGGTCACTCTACCTCCTATTCTGAAGCTTTTTCCCGCTCTTGGATCTTGTGTGCATTGTTATTGACTGGACTCTCATGCCAGACAATTCTACCACCGAATTTTATATCCCAATTCCCTTCCTTTGTTGTGCCCAGGGGTGTCACTGTTGATAAAATGTAGCTCTCATTTCTGTATATTTTATTACCTTCTGGGTACCCCATATATACCTCAAAGAAAATATATTCAAAGTTAAACTCATCACTTCCTTGTGTCAGAGGCCTAGTGTCAAGAGGCCTGAGTTCTAATCCCAGCCCAAACTGTCCTGCCTAGGGCAGGAAAGCCCATTTCCTTATGGAGTAGGCAGGAATGTTAGTGGCCACAAGTCCTCATTCAGTGCTCTGTTACCTACAGAATCTGGGGGCTAGCCTTTGCTTTGCTCCTCGTGTACACTGATGGCTATGCAGAAGGATGGAAACCAGAGTCTGTCTTTAAACTGTTGTACTTTGAGTTCTTTTTGGTCCCTTGAACACAGCAAGTATATTGTGGCCACTCCCCACTCTCAGAAAAACTTACTATCCAGCACCCACTTATGCCTGAGCTCAGATATTTCATGATCTGAGAAATGCAGCTGGATTGAGTTCTCTTCCAGAGAGTGGGAACATAGTCATTATCACCCCCGTAGCAACAGGCCCCAGACCTAGAGTCATTATACACCTGACCAATAGAAAGAAGTAAACAAAGGCCAAGATGGTTTCCAGGAGGGTGTATTACACAGGTGAGTGCAAGGAAAGCAAACCCAACTGCTATGTTTGCTTTAAAAGCTCATCTGATGCTAGTGCCAAATCCTGATGCTTTTGCTGGCCCCCAGGTTCTTGACTTCTCCAGAGCAGGCTTGGCCCAGTTTCTGGGCTGAGGGGGTAGGCTCTGCATGGAATGTCCTGCCTTCTGTCACCTGAGGCATCAGGCACTTCCATGATGCTCAGGGCTGGCTCCTCTTTCTTCATTTGTTCACATTCAGACTCCCACAGCCAGTTGTGGCTGGGGACCTCATCAAGTGGATGGGTTAGCCCAGGGATACTACGTGACTGTGGCTTCTCCTGCTCAGGAGACAGGCTCTTAGGAAAAGTTTCAATTGTGGTTTCCAAATCTTGGGAGTTAACTGGCTCACCCGTCCTTGTTATCTTCTTGTTTGGGGATGCCCTGTCTGGACCTTCCATAAGGAATTTCCAGGACCATGTTCCAGGCTTTCCAGGGGTAGGAGTGGCAGCAGAGCAACTGGAAGGGGGGGTTGGTTCTGAGGAGCGGGGACACAGTGCACCTGGTACCTGTGGGGAGCGATGCTGAGCCTCCCAGCAGCCTTCAGAGGGCATTGTGGGTCCAGATGTACTCAGGCTGGGGGCTTGTAAGGAATCGGCAGCTTCCTCAAAGGTTTGTGGTCTCCAGACCCTCCTCTGGGAAAGCCCAGGAACTTCTATTTGGGAGGAACCTAGTATGACCCCTGTCAATAGGCCTGAGAGTACAGTTCCCTGGTTCTTTAGAGCCCTGTTCAAGAAAGTGTCCTCGTCCCTTCCCTTTCCTGAACCTGTAGGGGGTAGATTCTGGCCTGCTTCTGGTTGGGGGGCCAATCTTGGCTCTTGTGTGGCCTGGCTCTTCTCAGGTTCCTCATCAGGGTCGTCTTCGGAGGAGTCTACTTCCCGGATAGCTTCTTGTTTTTGTAGTGACTCTCGGCGTTCGGCTCGATCCTGTCGGAGGGTCCCAAGGGCCCGTGAAGGAGCAGACTGCAGCACCCCTTTTCCTGGAAGTGGCCCTTTCCCAGATAGCACACTTCTGGCTCCAACGACCTCCAGAGGGCTTGCTTCCCTGGGTGGCAGTTCCTTCTTTAGCTCACAGCGGGGCAGGTCAAGACTATGCTTGCGGGAAGGGGCCAACTTCTTCTCTGAAGCTGCCAGTGCAGCAGCCAGCTTTTCAGCAGACTGCACCCTCTTAAGCAGTGGAGAACGGGGTGGTTCTGCACTCTTGGGCCGTGAGAGCTGCCTACCTAGTGGAGGAGACAAGTGAAGTTTGGTAGGAAAGGCCTGGGCTCCGTGTCCGGACAGAGGCGATGGGGAACGCTGAGGCGAAGCTGCTGCTGCTGCTGGTGGAGAAGGGGTATGGGCCAATGGTGACAGGGGGATGCTGCCTGCTGACTTGCGCCGTGGAGAGCGGTATTGGCGCTGGAGCTTGGGCGCCAGACCATGTAGAGAGCTGGGCCGTGTATGTCCGGAGCCAGCAGGGGAACTGGGCACACTGGAGCTGGGAGAGCTGCTCTGCGATGAATTCCCTCCCACTTTGGTTAGATGCATGGATGGAAGGAAAGAAACAGAAAATAGCACATCAGTGTTCATTGTTAGAAGTGACTGAGTGGCAAGGCAGAACTTAACACTGGAATGCCCTAGGGCTGTCCACTTTACACTACTGGTGGATGAGAGTTCTCGTAATCCACCCCTATCCCCTACCCATTCCTCCCAAGACT